AGAAGGAATTTTAGCAACAGTAGAATCACTGTTTTCCCTTTTTACATCTTATATGTAAATGGGAGTGGAAGAATTTAGAAATCAGCTTTAAGGGAGAACTACAGAGGGCTAGCTAATTGTAGGATCAACTCAAGCATATTCATTAGGATCCCTACCTTAACTCTGATTGACCCAGTGTGAACGTCTCGACAGTAACCAGATATTCAGGGACAAGCATTCGAGCACAATCCACAACTTCCTTTTTCACTTAATATTTTTTAATTTTGGAAATCCACCAACTAACAACTTTGTTCCAATAAATGAGCACAGTGCTGTGCCAAATACTGCAGTCTTTCTTGTATGTAGCACCTGTACTTGTAAGCAACATAGAGTTAGAGCCTGGATGATGGTGACAGAAAATGTGAAAATAAATATTTGAAAATATAATTGATGCTTTTATGAAACACAAAATAAAAGGGGCTATAAGAGGCAAACAAAGTGTTGCAGAAATTCAAAGGTGAGCCATTACCTCTGTTTGGGATGATACAGGAAAATTTCAATGTAAAGGAAGATGTGAGGTAAAGAAGTCTGGATTTTGGCTAGCAGAGATGGGGAAGACATATTTAGCTTCGCCCTTTGATCTCTGTACACACAGCTAGCTCGGACTCCCCTGTTTCAGGTTTCTTACTAATGTTCTAATTCTAGTCTGCCTCATGTCTGCTTGCAGTTTTCCCTACATTCAGAACAGTTTATCCTGAACTCCACTTTGACTACTGGAATCATCCAAACACCTTAAAAACAACAGCGGCAACAACAGCAAGCCACCGATGCTTGGATTTCACTAAGGCAGAGGAACATAATGGCATAAAATACCACTGACCATAATAATCAAACAGGGAGCCTTGAAGGTCATTGGCTTTAGGATGGGGCCTCATAGGCAGTAAGGAGACAGGGATAAAATGGCTGACCTCCTTCAGTCAGGCACAGATTGAATTAGGACAAAGAGGCCTTGAGGCAAGAAAGAGTTAGAAGCTAGAGAAAGTGGACAAGAGAATATAGTCCTATAACTTCTGGGTGGACCTCAAAAGAACTGGTACAGATAAACCTGTGCCTGTTAGGGAGCTGGTAGGAAGAAGTCAGGAAAATGGGCACGAGTGGTATGGGGTGGTACCCATTAGGGTAGCCAGAAACAGTGGCTTTTATTTTAGATATGTTAATAGGAGCTATGATTGACTTATCCAGATAGAGGTGCTCAGAACTCAACATGGAGTTGAAAACACTTCTCCCAGGAGAGTGGTGGATACAGGTGGGCAAACATGCCTCACAGGAGAGCGGATGCACTCATGGCAACACTGAGGCAGCAACCACTAGGGTCCACAAGGCTACCACTATCTTTTCTTTTCTACACTTTCCCTTCAGGAAACTCCTCTATTTTTAGTGGAGCATGTTTATTTACAAAGTGGGAGAAGGTAATATAACCAGGTAAGGGGTTAGACAGGATACTCAGAAATATAGGAGATGCTAGGTTGTTCAGTACCTGGGAAGGTAAAGGAGAGGCTCATAAAGTAGGGGTGGGAACACCTTTCTCAAGCACCACAGAGAGGTCAAAGGGAATGAATACTATCTAAGCAAATACCCTTGGGCCCCCCATAACCCCACTGTTTCCTGTTAAGATGTCTGATATAGCAGTTATGTGATATTTTAATTGCTTGGTATTCAGCACCATTAGGTAGGGGCTGATATTGTTAATATTTTATTTCCAGCATTTATCACCAATGAAAATGTGAATAAATAAACAAGCACATGAATAAAAATGTCAACTGTGACAATGTAAAGAGTAGTTTCAGTAAAGAGGTGGCATAGAAGCCAAATTCCAATGTCTAAATCACACGAATAATGATGTATGTATATATAGATATTTTCTTTTGTATGAAAGAAAAACACCAAACATTTAAGTTCTTACATTGATGGCTTTAATTATAATGATTAAAAAAAAACTGGCATTGTATTAAGAAATGTTCTTTCAGATTAGAAAATTCTGCTAAGAAAACAGTTCTGTTTATTTTGGATTGTCTGTTGACCAATGAGACTTCAGAGAGATTTAGATTACAAGCAAAGCCCTTGACAGCTATCTAGGAAAGCAAGATTAAAACAACATCATGCACAGTCAACTGTGGTCTAAGAGTTAGTTAAACAGCGCCAGTCATAATGTTCAGAGCTTTGGGTACCAGTGATCTCCAGGCAGCCAGGTGAGACTAATCTTGGGAAGCTTTGGAAGGAGATAAATTTAAGCTGTTTTGAAAGGAGACTATTCTAGTCAATTGGCAAACAGTTTTAAACAGAGGATTAGGTATTTTAATTTGATTACTTGAGATGATTTGGAGCTACCCCAGTGTTGTGAAAAGATAGGATAAATGTTCCCTAGAAGATGGCTCATTTTCGTAGTTCTTAACCCTGGCTACACATCAGAATTACTTGAATTCTGAAAAATCCTGGTGCCTGGGCTGTACTCCATGCCAATTAAATATAAAGGTGGGACTCAGGCATCAGTGGTGTTCAGGTTTTTGTTTTTATTTTTTGAGTGATTCCAATAGTCAAAACGGTGTGTAGGATAAATTGCTCTGAATGTAGGCAAACTGCAAGTGGGCATGAGACAGGCTAGAATTAGAAAGGTTAGCAAGGAGGCTGGAACTGGGGAGTCTTACCAAGCTTTGTATACAGGGATCAAAGGGTGCAGCTAAATAAAGTATTGTGGAGGGAAACTTGCTCAGACTGTGTGATGCATGTCAGTTGCAATTTTTCACAAAGGTCTCCTTCAGGAGCTCCTCAGCTCTTATGATAGATTACTTGGAAAATGAGCAGATAGGATGTGATTTTTGCTAAAATTTGGGAGCTCTTGCTGTTAGCAAAATTCTCCATTTCTTTAACAGAAAAATTGCTTAGAGGAGAAAACATCATATAAACTTTTATTTAGATTGAGGGAGGAAAATAAAAGCTAATCATGAATACTTGAGAATAAAGGGTCAAAACTCAGATTTTTAAATTGGGGTAGTTAGGAGGTATTGGGCTGTATGATTCCTTTAGACATTCAAGTCTAGAGTAACCTTGAGGGAAAAGTCAAACCATTAAGAACATAACCTTTCCTAGAATGAAGTTTTTGTAACAGTATGGGAAATGGATAGGTGGTGTCTCTGGAAGGATCATCTTTCAGGAAGGTGAGCTGCCAAGCAAAGGTGGGAGTTTCAGTGTTCAAATCAGATCATTTAAAATTGACTTTGGCATGTCCCACTTTTAACGTTTAGGGGAAGGGCAGAACATCACAAGGTGGACTATTTATATAAAGAAGTAGCACTTCATAGTACAGCTGAGAGGAGCGTTTGATGAAATATAGACACTGACAGTGAAACTTCACTGGCAAGAGCGCCCTGGGAAGAAGTGATTGAAGACAGTTATTGGAGCAAAATCATTTCTCTGATTCTGAGGCTGAAGCTGAGTCTTACAATAGTGATCAGCTGTCGCCTGCAGCTGCTGTCATTATTTAGCAAAAAGAGTTCACTGTAAATGAAAGAAAACTTGTTCCTGCTCCTAGATTCTGGGTCCTGATACATAGGTAAGAGTACTGGCCTGGTCTGGTCCTAGCTGTTAAGTCAGGTAGGTCTACATGTTGTGATTTAACAGGTAGAGAAAACTCTCTACTTCCTCCCCAAAGCTTGCTCAGATAACTTCATCCTGCTTGTAGAGAGGGAAGAGTAGAGGGTAAGAGGTTAGAACACTGCTTCTAAGAGACCTCTGAGGAAATAAAGCTGCAATATACAGGCAGTTACACACCCAGAGATGCTGTTCACTCCCTGCCCATCTGCAGAGTGGCTCAGAGCAGGTTTACTACTGGACTGGAAAGGGTGTGGTGACTAGGGAATCCAAAGGGAAGAAAAATATAAGTTCACAAGCCTGGGTAGGGTGGAACAGAGAGTCACTGGATGTCCAGACCAGTAGGAAAGACTTGAGGAGTCCATTGCCACCGAGAGTGGACAACCCTCAGGCTCCCCTTCTGCCAGTGTCTTACCACACCACTGGGCTGCTGGCTCCCATGGCCTCATTTCATCCAGCAGACCTACCACCTACAGGGGTCTATCCAAAATTACTCCGTGTTCTTTGGCACATTCTGCCTTTCTTAATTGCTTCCAATTTCCCTTCCTCAGGTTTGTTGTTTCAGGAAAGAAGGTTCTAAATTAATGCTCTGCAAAGTCCCCCTACATGTTGGTTTGCAAAATTAATGATCCTCATGGAAAAACGAATTAATCTTTGATGCTTGGTTGAATTTAAAGACAGAACTCACTGGGGCCCTCTTAATACACAAAATCATAGTATTTTCTCCCTCCCATGTCTGCTACATCCACAAAGGAGACAATGCATCTCGAAGTCCATCTCCGAATCTAAAGAACCACTATTCATAGACCCATTCTGCAAGTATTTATCAAAAAGCCTGGTTTATGGAGGGGCTGTGCAAGGTGCTCAGAAGCTGGGAAAGGCTGCAGAGGAAGCCACAGGACATATGGGCCACACGACAAGTTTTACTTGCACTTTGTATGTACATTTGATGGTTTGAAAACACTGAAGGAAACATGTTCCACTGAAAGAACATCTTCATAGTTCCTTCAATTTTAGGAAGAACATGACAGCTTCACCAAACGCCCAGAGCACCGGTCTGAGGATTCGCAGAGATCTCTAAGGGGATTGGAAATTCCCTTGCTGTGTTTTTCTAGCCAGCAGCGTCTACTGCATTGCATTGCTCAGCGCCTTTCAACTGAAAAATTAAATCTCCATTCCTGTCAAAATGTGTCCTGTGCACACCCAGACAGACACTCATCCCAATTCGGCCCACTCGGCGCAGGGGGCAGCCGAAAGGACCGCACATCCCCCCCTTCGCGGTCTCTGGGAAGGGCAGATATTAGGGAGGAGCTGAACAAGTGTGTCGGAGGAGTGTCTGGCTAAGCCCGCGTCGGGAGTGCAGCCGAGCCTCCGAGAAAAGAGCCAGTGTCGGTCGGTTTGCTCGGTGTGAGTCACACTCCTGGGGTGGGCCTTGGGGAGAAAATCCATGAAGGGCACAGCGGAACTGGTCAACTCAACCAGGGGGAGGGCGGCTGGGTCTGCGCGTCCTTTGTGCCCCTGCGAGCTCCCGGGACTCTGCCCTCCGGGAAGAGCCGGGGAGGCACCGCTCCCCTCCCCGGAGCTCCGGCCCCCGAAGGACTCGCAGCGACTCGGCGCCAGGCCGGGAGCCCTCTGGCGGGCGTGGCGCGCGGGCTGCACCTGGCCGCGGGGCAAGGCGAGGGGCGGGGCGGCCTCCGGGGGCGGTGGCTCGGCGCGCAC